CCTTTGGCCTCCCTCATTTGCTCCACCCTCCGGAGGTGCTCGCAGAGGCCCATAAAGCTCTGCAATTCACAAAGGCGAAGAATAAGGCACGATGAACACATTACAAAAAAAAAACACAACAACAAACAAGGAAGGGGGGGTGACTTACGGAGGCAGCATTCAGAAGGACCTTCGCCTCGAGGGATCCCTCGTCCAACCTGGCAAGGGCCAGTCGGTCAGCCGACGGCAGCATCTGGCTCATCAGTGCCGAAGGGTTCAGGCTTCCCTCCAACACAGAAGCTCCCTTCGGCACTAGCGCCTCCAGCTTCTCCCGCCCGAAGAACTCCTGGTCGATGTGTTCCTGGGGGTGGGGGCAGAGGCGTGCCCTTCATCCACGATCACCACCACATCGGTGGCCGGATGTTTGGCAGGGGTGGCAGTCTTCGGCTTCTTTGCCGGGGGCTCGGTTCCCTTGCCGGCGTTCTTCTTCTTCGCGGGCCCGGCACCTCTGGACCCTCCGGCGCCAGCAGCGGCAGCAGCAGCTTGGGAAGGCCCCTCCCTACTAGAAGTGCCCGTCGGGGCCTTCTTCTTCCCCTTCGCGTTCTTCAGGGCAAAAAGGGAGCCCATGTCCATGTTATTACCTGCAAAAAGAAAACAAAAGGTTAAACCGAAGGGTGCCAGTTGCGATAACATAGAGTAAAAAAAAAGAGAACAGAAGTGTGTGAGGGGAAACTATGAAGGTACAAATGAACCCTTCGATAATCACCTCCGGCTCCTTCAAAGACTCGTTCGAGGGGAGGGTATCTTTCATCCGAAGAACCCCTCGGCTTGAACTGCCGGAAGCCAAGGCTAAGCAATTCCTCGGGAGGGTGACGTCCTTAATCTTGACGTGCTTATTGGACCCCTCCGATTTCTTGGCAAGCACTTTGCCATTCTTCTCCAGAGCTGCGCTCCCTACCTTCGGGTGGCGCCGGAAGCTGTTGCGGAGCTGGGCCGGGAAGGGGTTCTCCTCGAGGCGAATGTAGCAGAATCTCTCCTTCCACCCCTTGTGGGACGAGGGCACGTCGTCGAAAAGCCTGAACTCCGGTACCTGCTGAAGGTTGGCAAAGCCCTCAGCATTTGAATGCCCCCCCCCCCCCCGGCAGAGGTTAAAGGACATGAAGAATTGGTCAAGTGTAGGCTCAACCCCCCGGCTCTGGCACAAGGAGAGGAAGTCGGCCACGTAGGAGTGGCTGTTGGGCGTTAGCTGGCAGGGGGCCAACCCCACAAACCTCAAATACTCCAGCAAAAAAGGATGAAGCGGAAACCGAAGCCCCATCTCCACCGAGAGAGTGTGAACAGCAAAACACCCTTCGGGCGCATATCGCAGTAGATCATCTGCCCTGGGCTCCACCACGCGCGCCGAAGGGCCAACCAGCATCTGAGTGGCCTGGTATTCTGCCGGGGACGCTCTCGTCTTCAGCTCCAGAGCGGCAGTGTTCAGAAACGAGTGGCCCTCGGGTATGCCTACCGGTCGCCCGGCGTCAACGGCCGCTTGTTTCTTCCTCGGGGCTGCCTTCATCTTCTTTTTCTTCCCGGGAGCCACACTGATGGGCGTCGGGTCCAATGGCCGGGAGGAGCTGGCTTCCCCGGTACCACGAGGGGGAAGAATGGCGACCGTCACCTTCATCCTCTCCCTCTCCTCTTCTTCTTCGGCAGTTTGCACGGCGAGGGCGAGCTCTTCGTCCTCGTTTTCTTGCTCGAAGCCTTCGGCTTCGACTTCGGCCTGGAGGTCCTTCTCCACTTCCATGGCCACTGCAGCGTCACCACCCACCGAGGACTCCACGCTCGAGGACTCCACATCTGAGCACGTCTCCATCTCGACCGAAGGCTCCCCCGAGATATCCTGGGAGTCGCTTTGTGAAGACATCTACTCACTAGCTCGAGGGCTCGGGAGAACTAAGGTTTTCTAGAAAATTCTATCTCCTAGCCTAAGGGCACAAGGCACAGCTAACTAGAAGGAGAAGGGCAGGGGGGAACTGACCTTGAGAACTGAGGATTCAACCGAGGGCAAGTTTCTCTCTCTAGAAATTTTTTGCCAGAGCTTCGCTACACTGAGATCGCACAACGGAAAATGGCTCTGGCCTTGTGGTATTTATAGGCGCTGGGATCCGGGCTTGGGTCTGGAAACCGGGCCTCTGGTTGGATCGCCATCATTACCGACCGAGTTTTCACCCAATCGGTGACGCCCGCCCACGGGCAGCCAACGGGCACGCACCACGTGGCACCCCCCCCAACAGCTATATCCTGACGTTACATATTCCAACGGCTATATTTCCAACGGCTATATTCTGGGAGCCCCCGGTTTTTTTTTTCACTTCACTCCACTTTATCAGGGAAAGCCTCCGGGTACACTTACCCAGAGACGCTCTCGGGTCGTGCCCCACACAGTACATAACAGATGCCTTCGGGATCAAACCTTCAGAAGCCCAAGGCTTCATATCAGGCACCCCTCGGGGACCCCCCTCAGCACTTTGAGAGCCGGGTTGCCCCCGGGGAGTATGCCTCATTGACGGATCACCTACGGCACACAGGTAATGGGACCCCTCGGATATCCTCATCACCAGCTAATCAACAAACAGGGGACCCCCCGGTAACAACTCGACTGCTACCCTCATTCATTACGCCCTCGATCCCCAGATTGAGGGACTCCCCTTCGGCACCTCCCAGGACATCAACAACAAGCCTCCGGCTAATCAACACATGAGCCCTCAGAACAGGGAAAGCCTTCGGCAACATCATTATTCTCCATTTCGAACCAAGGTCTCACATTTTCGATTCATCATTGGGGGAATTCAGTGCACTCTTTTTCTCTCATTAGGATTTTTCCCCACAGGGTTTTTCCTAATGAGGTTTTTAACGAGGCATCCCCCCAAAATGAAACGAAAAGCGTCAGCCTTCGGCCCACAACAGCAACGCAACTACTTCGCTCCTCTTCACCACTTTGTAAGTGCCTCAAGGAGTGGGGGACTGGAGGACCCCCTCGGGAAAAATCACAAAAATCACAAAACATGACCCCTCAAGTCCCGACATGTGGGTAACTGAGGGACTGCCCTCGGCAGGATAAACAAACAGCAAACTACCAGCAACCCTACAAACTACAAACAGAAAATGGTAGAGGACAAACACAAATTACTCCTTTTCCCTCAAATACCTTTCGGCAAAAGGAGTGAGGGACTCCTGATGGAGTATGTGGCCCGGGAACCCCCGGCCCACAGACTCCTACTACTCCAATAAAGGCCCAACAGGCCCAGAAGGCCCAACAGGCCCAAATCACGGCGCCCAGAGTACCGAGCAGCCCACAACACGCATCAGGGGTGCCTTCGGCCCCATGGCCGAAGGCTCTAACTCTCACAGGAGGGCAAAGACAGCAAAACAAAGTTACTGGGAAAAACGGCGAAAATCAGTAGCCCTCGGCAATGGGAGCCCTCGGCACTAAGGGGGTCCCCGGAACTCAGAGCCTTCGGCTAGTCCTCTACAGCCGAGGGTGCCCTGCCCGACATGATATCCACACCACATGCGTACAGATCACCGTACCCTGTACAAACGTCCCATCCAACAGCCGCATTAAATGCGGCCACATGCGGTTGCCAGCGCCAACCAGATGAGGTGACCTCTCGGCCAATGGACGCTTGACACGTGCCCCTGTCCGGCATTTATTGCTACTATAAATAGCACCCCTTTTCCCCATGTGTAACCAAGTCATAACACGCTGAAAACGCTGCATACTTTCTAAATACACTTTCTCTCTCTATACTTACTTGCTCTGACTTCTCTCTTGTTATTCCCCGCAATAACCCCCCGGATAAGCTACCCCCCGGGTACACTATCCATCACTCACTCTATATGTATTAATAATTATTTTTCACTCGTTTTTATTTTATCCTAATAAAAAATTGTTTTTCAATAAAAAAATATAAGAGAACCCCCTTAAATTATTGTCTGGTTCCGCCGCTGAGTACACCGATTTGTTTTGAGGATCATGGGAAGAAGTAATCAACATCAGGACGCTGACTCAATGAGTCATCGCGGATCCCTATCCTAATATAACTCTAATTAATATATAAACTAATAAGAAATATAAGAAGTGATATACTAAGCATAACATTTCTTTATCATTTTGAATTGATTATTTGTCATTTTGTATGTGGAGTTTGGAAAAAATAATTAAAATACCTCATACTTTGATGAGGTGTGAGATAAACACTTCAAACTTGCATATGTAATTTAAAGGGAAAACTATCATATAAGCCCTCGTACTATACCGAAAAAGTCGATTAGGCCCTCGTACTTTACAAACACTCAATTAAGTCCACGAATTATTAAAAAACGTTCAATTAAGCCCTTTCGGTCGGTAAGTAACCGGTTTCCCGGTTAAATGTAACCTGTTTCCCGGAAGCCGTTGTTGCTGGAGTTCGAGCACATCGTCGCCATCGTCGTTGTTTAACCGGGAAATCGGTTACTTACCCACCAAAAGGGCTTAATTGAACGTTTTTTAATAGTTCGAGGACTTAATTGAGTGTTTGTAAAGTACGAAGGCCTAATCGACTTTTTCGGTATAGTACGAGGGCTTATTTGATAGTTTTCCCTAATTTAAATATCTCAAACTTTATATAAAAAGTTATTTTAGCATCATGGTCATGTATTATATTTTCAAGACGCGGGGATGTTCGCCCCCATGAGCACCTAGAGGTACCCCAAAATGTACCCCATTTTTACCCCACACCATAATGTGTGGCCATAAATGATCAGGAGGTGGGGACGTCCCCGCGTCTTGAAAAAAATAATACATGACCATGGTGCTAAAATAACTTTTTATATAAAGTTTGAGGTATTTAAATTACATATATAAATTTGGGGTGCTTATCTCACACTCAATCAAAGCTTGGGATATTTTAATTATTTTTCTCTATATTGATCTTTGTATGTTGACTTTTTACATACAAATTATATATATAGCGGACTGGTCAGTATTGTCAAGAGAAGCTAAGCTATAGAGGCGCGATAGGTTATATTGTCGACAAAAGAGCAAGGTTGGGGTATGATGGAAATCAGAACAAATGTTTTGCTTATTTTATCATGACTTACAAGTGAAACGAAGATTCTTATCTTGATCTTTTAGCAGAGGATATTAAAAATCTGCTTCATTCTGAAGCACATTATTGGTGGGGTCTTCGTGTATAGGGGTTGATAATCGAGTACCTGGATTACTTAAGGATCGTGTAAGTTTACTTTCTGAATTGATATTTCTCCCATATGTCTGAGTTACAAGAAATTCAATCTAGGATAATCTTTAAGACACTCTAGAACTTAGGCACAAGAACTAGAGTCAAACTAGTGAGTATATGGATTGTTTTCTTAATTTGAATGCCACAAGTGATTAAGATATGTTGTATATCTTCCATCACCCTTCTCTGTACGAAATATGGTGATATATATCCATATTACTCATTTGCGTTAGTTACAACACATTTGAGAATAATCGTGGCAGTTTTTGGAGAACTGCACGAAACTGCCCAACTGCTCTAGACCTCAGTCTAGAACCACAAAGTTGGTCTATTGAGTATTCTACCTAGAGAGTTTCACTGTCGTAGACACTTTGGAATAAAATTCGTTCTTATATAAAAGTGTGCACTCCACGCCTACTAGATAGCTTATATTAGAACACAGTTCTAATCCTCATCGGCACTAATGTCATTTCCAATTATACAAAATGTTCGATGACACTAAAATCGATCACCAACAATTATTTGGTTCTTATCATGACTTACAAGCGAGTTGCTCATACTTTGGTTGGGGCAGCTCTTTCAAAGACAGATGGTAGTTCAGTTTTTCATTCGGAGCCTAGTTGTATTTTGAGCTATCTAGCGAATTTTGGAAGCTAGAGTTTGGCGTTTTGCTTTAAAAAATGTACTAAAACTAAGTGACGAATATAAGATTTTCACTCGTATAGTAAATTTCTAATTTAATTCAATAAATATATGATATATATGTTTGTGTGTATTTTACTATTATCTAAATTTTATCCGATCTATTTAAATTTAGTCTAATCTGATTTTATTGAATATGAAATAACCTGATCTAGTCAATGAAAATAAGTAAAAGAAACAATGACACAAATAATACCATGTATTTTTTAATTGATAAAGAGGACCATGTCTTAAGTTGGACAAAAAAGAGACTACGTATTAATAAATTGACTAGAGTGCCCTTAGTATCAATAATCCTAACTGTCCAACTCTCCCACCCCTTTCGCCTAGTGGTGTACCTCGTTCGGAACCGTGTTCGGCACTGTTTAGGATCGGACCGGGTCCATATTTCCAGTTCAGGTTCAAGACCGGATACCTGACTAGGTAACCGATAGGTCTAGTCCCGGGTTTGAATTTTGAGGACGGGACCAGGAGGGTCGGGTCCTGTTCCGAGCAATTTTCATTTTTGTCCTTGCTTGGGAGGGTTTGGGCCAACCTGGCCAGGGGTAAGGCAGACGGTAGAGAAGGGGGGATTCGTAGGTCGGGTGCAAAATATCTATTCCTCTTTCTCTTTGAACATGTTATGTGTTTGAGAGTGAGTTGCAGGGAAAATTCCTTTGTGCAGAGGGGTCATGGTTGCGGTGGGTCACTAGGACGACGAGTCTCAAGGCAGCAGGTCACTGGGTCTGCAGTCGCAGAGTAGTGGTCATTGGAGCAATGGGGATTGATTGAAACAGATTGGAAGAGTAATTAATTACCTGATATAAATAATTCGGCTAGTAGCCCTAAATGGAACTAAAAGTAGTGCTAAATTTCAAATTAGGAATATATGAGTAATATATGTCTCTCTTCTTATTCTACCTCCTTCCAATAATTTTTATTAGATTTATTTATGAGTATAAAAATCATTATTTTATTTATTATAAAAAATAAAAATCATAAAGAAGAAATTCCACTTATGATCTTTCGAGTTTTGCACCAATTTCACAATTCGTTCTCGTCTTTCATTTTATCCATTTTTTGTACCTGACTATTGTTTTCTTGACCATATATAATCCTTTTCCGATAGTAAAAATGCTCATAAATGGACCACAAATGGTCAAGAAAACAATAGTTAGGTACCAAAAGTGGATAAAGTGAAAGATGATGATTAAATATGGAAACGATACAAAACTCAGAGGACCTAAAGTGGAATTAATTCAAATCATAAAAATATTTATAAATTAATAATAAATTAGGGAAAAAATAAAATCGAATTAAAAAATAAAAATAAAAATACAAAAAAAATAAAATTTAAAATGTTTAAAAAACTTATAAAAATCTAAAAATGTATAATAAAATACCTAAAAAATATTTAGAAACATGTAGGCCACTACCTCCGCATCCCTCCACCTCCCAGCACCACCAGCTCCGACCACACCAAAAATGCAGTCTTATGTAGAAAATGTCATATTTCTCTTGAAAATGTCATGTAGATGACATTTTCGTCTTTGAAAATATGCAGGTTTCTTTTGAAAATTGCCATCACGTTGACATTTTTTCAACTTGGCATCCTTTTCCTGTGACCGGAGGTGCCGGTGCAATACTTTTTATTTATTTATTACGTTTTTTATTTTTTTTTATTTTTTTATGTTTTATTATTATTACTTAAGAAATCATATTAAGAATGACAAGGGAAAGGGTAGAATAGGAAGAGTTTGTCAAATTTTGGAAATTTAAACTTTAACTCCTATTGTTGCAACTTTGCTTTTCTAGTCTTATTTAGGAAAAACTCCCTAAACAATTTTGTATTTGAGTTTGATTTATGAAGTGTTCAAGATTGCTTCTACTTTATAAATTATTTTTAAAGTGGTAATTAGTACAAGTTGTTAGTGTTTTGTAAAAAACATATTTGTTTAATAAAAAAATGAAAAATAATTTAAGCATCCTTCCATCTACTTGTAGTTAAAACGAAAATTTAACTATATGAAGCAAACCATAGAAAATTGCTTTTTAGCGGTTGCAAACACTCCTTTTAAACCGGTTCGATTTAAAATTGTCACAATTAATAATATATTAAGATTTTTATTAAATGTCTTAGTTGGACATAGTGCGCTATTAGTCGTCCTAATAGAAAGGATATCTACAAGGTTGTGTGGCATTGACCCCCACAGGGGAGGGTGTCATGTTTCTTGTGCAATTATTCCTCGACAATGAACAAAGCATGTGAACCATGAAGCATACCCAATCACATTGTGGGACACCAATCATCAATCATTACATTACATTATCACCAACTTAATAATAAATGAAACTATTGTATCATCCGCCACTAGAATTTTATCCTATTAAGGAAAGAAATTAATAATAATAAATTATCCCCTATCTATAGCACAAACAAATATCTAGCACAGTCATACATCACCGTCCAAACATCTCATCTAAATATAATTTAGATACGGAGTATTATAAAATGAAGAAAGCAAATCTTTAAACGAGGATAAAAACAATATGATATTTTGGAATATGAGTGTTATTCTACCCCGTCCTAAAAAAAGATTTTTAAAGATCTTTAGATCGGGATTAAAAAAAATGATATTTAGATATGAGTGCTATAATTCTTCCATAGCCTTAATTAGAGTGTGCTATAAATATTAAATATTAGAAAAAATTATCCATAATAGGACTAAAACTTACTTAAAAAGTCATAATAGGACTTACTATGTTTTATTCCCCTAATAGGAGTTATACGGTTCTATATGTATGTTTAACGCTATAAGCAATATCCAAAATACTCCTGCCTATGTTTGCCATTAAGCCGCAGGTGTTACCGGCTATTTTCGGTAATTGATGTGTGAAAGCATTTAAGAGTTTCCGTTAGTTTCCCTCTTTGATCGAGATTCTTTCCAAAAAATTAGTTTCCTAAATCAGTTGGGAATTCAGTTGACGTACTCTGCTTTTGCGCGACATTCTTCTTCTTCGGCCATCATTGCTACAGTTGGATTTGTTTGAGTTGTTCGTTCTTCTCCTCTGCATTCATCTTCTTCCACCATTGTTCGTTCATTTGCAGAGTATGTTCGCCCAAACTTTCCTGTATCGTCCTTCTTCACCAATCATGGTTAAATTTATGTTGCAATTGCTTGCATTTTGCTTCTAGAATATGTCAATTCCTCAGTTGTACATATGTCGTTCTGCAATCATCAATCTGTTTTATTCCTCTATATTTTGCTTCTACAATATTAGCAAAAAAATTCATAGTTTTTATAATCAATTTCAAATTCATTATTGTTAATAATTTAGCTCGTTTGCTTTTCATGAACTCTATCAATGCTTTTATTTCATAAAATTTCTTCGTATGTTGCTATTTCTGCGTTTAATGTTGGTGTTTAAATTGTGTCTTGAAGTACTAGATTAGGTTCTTCAAAACTGGCTCTTTTGTATTTCTAACTGTCATTTTGTATTGTTTGCTGATTTGCCATTTTGTGTGGTAAATATTATTTATACATCCTTATAGACTGTCACATATTCACGCAAACTGTCATTTTAGTATAACAAACTTTCTTCTTTCATGCTTCTATTATACTGAAATATTTGTTTTTCCTTCAATTTTTTAGAAACCTTTTTGCACAATGGATCTTGTTTTACTTGTTATGGTCAAGGTGGATGGTTTTTGGGATTCTGACTATGTGTTCACCAATGTGCACACATGTGGGCTTCATGTTAACTATGGTGTTCAATATGCTTGTTTTGTTGATATGTTGATTGTCATCCTTTCTCAGTACAAACCTAATCATAATTTCAGGCTTTCTTATATGCGAGATGGATTCCCTCCTCCTGTAACTATAAATGATCAATCTACCTTAACATTTTATCTTTATATCAAGTCTCTTCAACCAGATTTTCTAAAGTATCCACTTTGTGTTGAGTTTTATCCTATCTTTTTTTCATATCCATCTTTTGTTGGTGTTGAACCTTCTGCTTTTCCTTCACCTAAAAATGTTGTCATTTCTTCAACTCATTCGCTTTCTGTTGATGAGAATGTTTTTGTTGTTTCTTCCCAACAACATGCCTCCTCACCTGCACTCTCTTTTGAGCATAGCTCATCTTTTTGCACTGAAAATGTTAACATCTCTGGTAGACACTCTCAAGATGTTGCTTCTTGTAGTAACACTGTGTCTAGAGCTGTAGAAATTGAAACATCTGAAGACAGTGATGAAGGCATCCATGACATGTCAGATGGCTTAGTAATAGAATCATCTCATTCACTGTCATTTCTCCACAATTTTGAAGTCATCACACAGTCCCATCCTACTTGTCTTGTTCTATATGCTATTTACAAAAGTAAAACATACCTTATCCACCATCTGAAGATGTATGCTATCACAAACCACTTTCAATACAGAACAAAGACCTCTAGGAAAATATCTTTACATGTTATTTGCTTAGATCCTAAATGTCGTTGGACTGTTCGAGCTGTAAGACTACGTGGCGTAGAAATGTTTCAAATCAGAAGGTAACTTCTAATTTCATTCTTTTTGTTTGACTTCATTGTTAATTCTTGTTTATCAGAATGCCATGTATTGGTGACATTCTTAGCCAAGAATGCCAAATGTATATTACTCACTTGTATAAAAATGCCATTGTTTTGTCGTTTTAGATTTTGTCCAAAACACACATGCTCTATTGATTATAGACAAGGAAAACATAAACAGGCAACTGCTACTGTGATAGCAAAACTTATTGCACACAAATACCTTGATGCTTCCATTAAACCGTACCCACCAAAACAAATTCGTGAAGACATGAGTATGCAGTATGGAATTTCCATGTCATACAAAAAATCTTGGAAAGCACAGAAGAAAGCAATGCAGCTGCAATTTGGTTCTGATCTTCAATCCTATCAGGTTTTGCCTTCTATGGCTTATGTGCTTGAGAAGGCGAATCCTGGATCTATGTTTGATCTAGTCACAGGGAAGGATGATGCATTTTGTACCTTTTTTATGTCATTCAGCACATGGATAGAAGCTTGGCCTTACTGTAGACCTGTTCTTATACTGGATGGTTCATTCCTCAAGGCTTACTATAAAGGCACTCTTCTTACATCTTTTTGTCAAGATGCCAATGATCACATAGTTCCTATTGCATTTGGTATTTGTGAGTCTGAAACAAAATCTTCTTGGAAATGGTTTTTATCCAAAGTCTGTCAGTCAATACAGTACAGACATGACCTTTATGTAGTATCTGATAGACATAAAGGTCTTATAAAGGCTGTTTTTGAAATCTTGCCACATGCTAGCCATGATTTTTGTGTTGCTCATCTGCGTCGTAACATGACACACAAATTTAGAGGATCTGCAGCTAGTTTGGGATGGAAGTTCAAAGCTGCCTATATGGCAGCAACTGTTAAAGAATATGATGACTACTTAATCCATGTTGGATTCTGAAAACTCCAGGATAAGGACGTGGCTAGACAAAATAGGTGCTAACACATGGTCAAAAGTAATGTCTGGACCAAAGAGATATAATATTATGACCTCCAATTATGCTGAGTCTATGAACAAAGTCAATGTATGTGCAAGAGAGTATTCCGTCTCTAAACTTGCTGATTTTTTGCGTGAAAGGATGCAACAATGGTTCACGGAGGAAAGAAAAAGCTGAGAAAACAAGTACTATACTCACACGAAAATGTGAGAAATGTCTTGTAGCTTTGCAAGCTGAAGCTACACGTATGAGGGTATGTCAAAGCTGATTTTTACCCATAAGTCAGTTCTCAGTTTTTTATCTGGTTATATAATGTCACTTTGTTTATCACTATGTCATTTTGATTCTGCAAATCTGTCAGTTTTGTTCTTGTGTTAGTATATTGTTTAGGTACTTCGTTTTTATTCTAATTTGATATTCACATTTTGGACATTTCCTAGGTGAAACCATCATGTGCATATGAATTTGAAGTTGTTGATAGCAGATGCACGTCCTTTGTGGTCAATCTCAACTCTAGAAGTTGAACTTATGGCCACTTTCAACTAGATCACTTTGTTTGTGTTCATGTTGTTGCTGCAATTGCTATACGCCCACATCTGTCACGTTATACTTACATTTCTACTTTTTACACTAGAGATGCTTGGCTTGCTACCTGGTCTGGTATTATGCATCCAATTGTTGATCGTGACAGTTGGTCTGTTCCTGCTACTATTCAAAACCAACTATGCAAGCCACCAACTTGTATGAATCGTCCTCCTGGTCGCCCGAAGAAATCTAGGATTCCATCCATTGGAGAATATGGAGGTTCAAAAAGACAAAAATGATCTAGATGTCATGTGCTTGGGCATAATAAGAAAACTTGTAGGAATCCCATTCCAATCAATACCCAGTGATACCCATGGCTAATTCATTGTATTTTGTCTTTTGTTTTTATACAGTACTTTTAAGAATTCTTTTATGTGGTTTGGACGTAGTTATCATTTGTTTAAATGTTCTGCCATTTAGTTTTCAAGACTTGTGTTTTGGCATTTTGTTTACTCGTAACTAACATATGTCAGATTTGATGGCAATTTCTGTTCACAATTGATGACAGTTTGTTAAGGATAGAATTCAATGATGTATTTCACATTTGATGTCAGTGTAATAAATTTAGCCATTTTCATTGCCCACAATGGCATGTCAATACTGTGATGTCCTATTGTATATGCGTAATTGACATTGTTCATTGTTGATGCCATTTGGTTTTCTAAAAAAATGTCATGTAACTGTCATTTACATGTTGCATGTAATCAAATCTGACCCCACAAACAATCCTTGCATATGAAACTACAAGTATCCTGTAGATAAACATAATTGAATAAACTTGCAGGAATCCCATTCCAATGAATACCTAGTGATTTACCTTTGCCAACTCATTGGAAGTAGTTATAATTTCCTTAAAAATTTAAGGTATTGATTTAGCCATTTTGGCATTTTAGGTTCAAAAAAATGTCATGTCAAATGTCACTTTATTGTCATTTAAATGCTGCATATAAACAAAATTCTATCATTCAAATGTTCTTTACTCACAATTGTAGATCAATTCTCTGATGTTATTTTAATTATTAAAAATGATACATGTTTATATATCATGTCAATTGATGATACGACAAATGTCATCTAAAAATTAACACAGGTATAGATGAACACTATTACCATTTGAAACATACATTCATACGTTCTGTTCGAAAAACAATAACAAAGTCAAACAACATGCTGTTCGAAAACAATAACAAAGGATAAGCATAATTGTTTCAAAACAAATGTACTTGATGTTCCAAAAGTACTATTACATATTAAAAGATGCACTTCATTCTTTCTCAGCCTGCCTTTTCTGGCTGTATAGAAGCAGCTCAGTTGCCATTTTTCCCTAAACAAGGGTATTGTTTCAGGATATATGGCATCCATGTCCATCTCTACCGTTAGAAATTCTTCCATCTTCAACATGTATATTCCACAGTTTCCCCTGATGCATAACATAAAGAAAAAACATTTTTTAAAAATAAAAAAGAAGTTCACTATTACGCAATCTGTTTAAGTAAATTTATATGCTCTTACCCATCATCTTGTTGTGGACATCCTTCTAAAGGATCTACTTCCAAATACCTTTCACCCATAATCTCTTCACCCATCAGTTCGTAGACTCTCTGATAATCCATAATTCTGGGCAGGAGCACAGTTATGCTTGCATAATAGGATCTGATATCCCTCAGTGAATCACCTCTTCTGGCATTTGAATTGTACACCCTAACTTTTCTTTGCTTGATATCTAGTACTAACAACACCCAATGATTGCCAGTTTTCAGAGGAAAGTACACATAGTCTGCCTTGCTCCAGTGTAGGCTATAGTTGTTAGCACCTATTATTTCACGCACAATGTTTTCTTGTTCTGCTGACTTGTTGTATGTGTAGTGCCCCTTTGATATTGTGTCAAGTTCACGCTTGAGTATTTGCAAGAAAAAAGGGCCAATTGTGGTATACTTCTGTGGCAGTTTGTAATGCACCCTTATCATGCCCAAATAGTACATTACTACCTCAACATGCTGTAAGAAGTAAAATACACATTTAGCATTTAAAGGTAAAGCAGACTGACTAATAATGTCATTCTGTACTGACTCAGATGTATTTAAATTTACACTTTTTCATTAAACTAACAACTATATGATCATTTGTATGCGTACCTTGCCTGTGATCCATTGGTGATTCATAAACAGGTCATATAACCATGTTTTTTATTCAACTTTCATTGTATCTAGCAAGAATGGTTTGTTGGTCATTCTGTCTTCGTCCTTTTTGTACCTTCTGCCAGTTTTGTTTTTTGTGAAGTTCTTCAGCAATCCAACTTTCAAGAATTCTTTCACCCTCTGTATTTCTTCAACCGGTGGGTTCTCTGTTGGATCTTCATAGAAAGGTCCAATTATTTGCTTCAGAGGTGGCAGAAATTCATCATCTTCTCTTTTATTTCCCTTTTCTCTCTTCCTCCTCTTTGATGCATGCTCAATTCCCATGTACTTCACTGGTGACCTAACAACACGCTTTTGTTTGGGAAGATCCTCATAAGGCATTGGCATAATATATATTATTTACTATGTTCTTATATGTTTATTTAAAAGAAGTAATATACAATCAATGTCATAGTACAAAATGTTCATAAACATTGGCAGTTGAATGTCAGTTTAACAATTGAAAATGCCACATGAATGACATTTTACTGAGTTTTTGCATTTACCTGATCAGTTATTATGAGTGCTCTGCATGGATTAGAAGAATAGCTTTCAAAAGCCTTTTTTGCCACTTCATCTGCACATCTCTTGGATAAACTGACTATTTTCCTGTGAGCCCATCCCCCAACCAGACTCACCAGTGTCTTTTTTATCTTCCTGTGCAGGTAGTCCCTCCTCTTGCATTTGGACACTGTCTTCAATTTTTTCTCACTACCTTGAGACTGAGTGAGTATTTTGAATGTAGGCATGTCACAAACTGCTTCTTCAGTGTTCTTTTCTATCTGCTCAGTGTTCTTCTCTTGCATTTCGTTTTCATTTCTTTCTGCATCCTCAGTCTCTTCTTTATTATCCTCAGCCTCTGCATTAGCATCCTTATTAACACATGAATGGTCACTCTCAACATTTGTTGTCTCTTTCTCTTTACCAACATGCTCATTCTCTACAACATCATCATTCTGTACAACACCATCCTCAGCCTCTGCATTCATTAACCCAGTGTCCTCTTGCACAGCCATATCAGCAACATCATTCTCATAATTTGGCCCAGTCATGGCTATCACATCATCTTTTTTTTCTTTTTCATTTTCTTCTTTTTCTTCTCCGCTTTCTTCTTCATCCGTATCACCCTCTGCAGTTGCTTTTGTAGGCTCACTCTTCTCAACGCCCTGTGACATTTTGTTGAGCATCAGAATGACATCTTTCAAAAGATCCTCTTGCTTTTTTTAGTCTTCTTCATATTTTTCATTTCTACCACTAATCTGGCAGTCTCCTTTGCTTGTTTTCTGATGCTCTTTTTAATACTTTTGCTTTCTTTTCTCATGAAGACTACATACTTATCTCCTTCCCTTCCACTCTCACTAGAATCATCACTATCGGTCTCTTCACCTTCATCACTTTCTTGATCACTTGAATCATCATCACTCTCTTTTTCTACTGTAGTCTTGTTTCTTCTTCTTCTAGAAGGCCCTTCTTTAGATTTGATTGCTTTACATGTGTCCCTCCCAGCTTTTGTTGTTTTTCTTTTGGCTACTTTGGTCTACATCACCTTTTGTTTCCCTTTTGCTACAATAGTATTTGGCTTTTGAGCATCAATCCTGCCAACATTGTTGATCACAAGGTGCATCACCTCCTAATTTATGTCATTTCCCTCTTCTATCATAGCAATCTCATCTGCAGTTGGTACTATATGTGCCCATTCAAACTAAAACAAAAAAACCATGTTAGTAAACAATGTGTGCACATAAACATTTAAAAATTTACATATTAATCAATAACATACTTTTTCATTCTTGAATATAATTTCAGAAATGACCTCCAGTGTAGGTTTTATTAAACTCCCACTTTAGAGTCCTTGGGTATGATGTGTCTTGTCCCCTTGATGACTTTGCACAAGCCAGTCTTTGCTAAACCAGGAAAAGTTTCAAATGCCCACCACTGGAATGCCACTATGAAGCCAGGGAATGTTACTCTATCTGCTTTTCCTTTATCTAGTGCCTCACAGCTCTGTTTCACCTTGTTAACTAAGTCCACCCAAACGTCATCACCCCATGGATAAGCATTGAATGCATCCAAGTCATCAACTAAATTTATGTAGTATGCCTTCATGGGTCTAGCAAATTGATTCCCAACTAAGCAATGTGAAAGTATGTATAGTAGTGTCAGTTTGACTCCATCATTTGTCAGTCTACTATCATCAGTGCTCTTTTAATTCTTCAATGCATTCTGAATATCTGCACGAGTAACAGTTGTCTTGGCTCCTAAATAATTTGTCCATATATCTCCCTCAAGCTCTTCGGAAATATTTGGTTTCACAGCTCCAAACTTTAAAGCACGCATTACTGCAAGATCATGCTTCTGAAAGCTTGTGACACTGTCTTTAATGTTAAACCTGATGAAATTGTCATCTGTCTTTCCATTAACTTCAGTCACAAAGTTTCCAATCAATCCCAAAATCAATTGTCCACTCAGCCAAGGAATGTCTTCTATTCTTAACATCCAACCAAATACAGTATTCTTGAACTCTGTCAGTTCCTCTGTGCTTAGATATGTCATTATTTTCTTAAGAACCTCAGCAACATTGCAGTAGGCATTGACACGCAAGTCTTCCAACTTCACTAACACTGACTTCTTAAAAGCTCTTGTTATTGTCTGTCAAGTTCACACATATATATGCACTTTAATCACCATGTAAACTAGTTTAGCAAAACAAATGACTAACAATAATGACACTTCATACAAAATGCCACTATATGAGCAAGTAAAATTTATTAAACTGTCATTAGTGCATCAGTTTCTCAATTTCTCATTATATGTGATGTCATTTTGCTTTGAAGCTCACACATATTCATACAATGTCATTATTTAATGCATAATGTCATGATAACATTCATATAAGGTTACATTGCCAGTATATAACCATATACTCATGGAATGTCACTTTCATACAAAATGCCACTATATGAGCAAGTAAAATTTATTAAACTGTTATTAGTGCATCAGTTTCTCAATTTCTCATTATATGTGATGTCATTTTGCTTTGAAGCTCACACATATTCATACAATGTCATTATTTAAGGCATAATGTCATGATAACATTCATATATGGTTACATTGCCAGTATATAACCACATACTCATGGAATGTCACTTTCATACAAAATGCCACCATATGAGCAAGTAAAATTTATTAAACTGTCATTAGTGCATCAGTTTCTCAATTTCTCATTATATGTGATGTC